ATGTGGCAGATATTACCTAAATACACTGCTATGGAAATTTAAATACGTATAGCCAGTTTGGGAAGCAATTTGGTATCATGTTGTCAAAGTGTAAGTTTACATAAAATAGGATCCTGCAATTACACTTCTGGGCTTACAATCTCAAGAATCTCTTTTGTGTATGCATAAATACATTTCAAGGATGTGTACAGCATGCACCTATGTGATAGTCCCCCCCAAATGCAGAAATAATCTAAAGCCCATCATAGAAGAACAGATTAATAAAATGCAGCATTTTTATATCATGGAGTGATATTTAGCAGTTAAAAACATGAATACAATCTGTTTAAAACAACCCGATAGCTCTCTCAAAGTGATCAGTGATAAGTTATCACCAAGTGATAAGTTCTATTTACAGAAGTAAAAGAGAAACCAGCCTGTGGAAAACTACAGTGAAGTCTGCTATGAAGCACTAATAAACATGAAGATATATTCAGATCACTAGAAAAGTAAAGCAAAGTAAAAAACAAGATTGTTTTTTTTCCCTTTGCTTATGAAATTGGCAATCTTGATGAATAATCATATTAATTTCTGGCAAGGCATATGAATCTAGCATACTCATATATAAGCAAAATGAATTTATAAATTTTCCTGGAATGTTATTTGGCAGTCTTTACCAAAAATGTAAAGAAAAATCAATTTTGACAAAGCAATTCATCCTCAGGAAATAAAGATATAGACAAAGTAATAACAAAAAGTATAAGTTGATTAATGTTTTTGAAAAATGATTTGGTTGAATAAATTATGATACAGAGATGAAATGGCTTTTTAGGAGGATAAAAATAATGACACAAGAATAATTATTGACATTAACAACGCTCATGTGTTGTTGAGTTTTAAAAAAAGGGATTACTTGTGTTTAAAAAATTTATATTCACAAGATCCTTGTTATTCAAGGATATCTGGTTCTAGAGAAGTGCCATTACAATGGGGACCAAAATTTCACGGTAAACAATGGGAAATAAAAAGTTTTGATTTGCAAAATATTTGAAGGAAAAGAAATAAGAATATACATTTCATTTGCTATTCTAACAAATTTTGATAAGAGCATTTGTCATGGGAAGGGGTATTAGACAGATCCTAAAATTCATAACAAAGCCTAAAGCATCAAGAATAGCAATCGATTTATGGCAATCCCATAGATTGAAGTAGCTACTACAGGTACAGTGCGACACTGGGTGCCAGGGAGGACAAAAGAATTAAGCAAGACTCCTCTCATTCTGTAGAAGGGTATAACTCTACTAGGGGAGTTGACCGAGAGACATGACTCTCAATTCTTACTCTGGCTGGCAGAGTGTATAAACTTAGAAGTAATGCTTAATATTCGAGGCTCACCTATAAAATGGGAAAGCCAGCCTCCTCTTATGGTGAATATTGGATGGATGACAGAAAGACAGAGAGATATACAGGATCCAGCACATTGCAAATACTAGATAGACACAAACACTTAAAAATCTTAGCAAACACAGGCACAGTAGATAACTACAACCAACTAAACAGCATCTCTGACACTATGAGATAAAAGGAGAAAGTAACAGACATGAAAGGGAAAGAAGAGAAGGTTCGTGGATCCACCCTCTCCACGGCTGGGTACAATACCACACCCCAAGTGGTTCCCCTTGATGATGCCTCCACTGTGGAATATATAAGGCATCTCTTCCAGCAGCAATCTGGCTGGTCCTCCAGTTCTGGTTATTCTTCCCAGCTCACTATGGAGAGTGCACTGTGAAAACAGAGAATCTTTTCTCTCATACCTTTGGGGAATTGGCAGTAGGATGAGACCAAAGGGATCATAACACACCAAAACTAGCTTCTCAGCTGACCCTTTTTAAAATTCCAATGATACACCCCAGCTCCATATTGCTGAAGAGAGGCAACTGTCTCAACTCCACCTGGATCATAGTTCCATCCATGGATTTCATAGCAGCTGCCTGTCAGATACTGTAACAGTGTTTGAAAATCACTTTGGGGGGCACTGAATTGTTGGATTTGATTCCTGGTATCCCTTCATGAGGGCTTGGGAAAGAATGGAACCAGCCATTGTGGTGCCACCATGTGGCAATAGAACTAACTGTTCATAAATACTCAGTTTTAGAATTCTGCAGTTTTTCACCAGTTTTTAACTTGGGGGAACTCGAATTATTTCCATTTTTGTTTCAAATGATTATTTATTCATCTCTTTTCTTCATTTGTATTTGATATCATACAATTTCAAGTTTGCATTATTTAAATACACTCTGAATAAACAGATCTCAACTAATCAGTGTTAATGCTGCTATATCAGGGTCCAGCTTGTCAGACACCCAAGAACCGATCATCGGGGTATGGTAGGGACAACCACCTCATTCTCTACCCAGATTTAGACCATATTTTCAGGCCTCCCTGGTGGCCTAGGGGTTAAGTCTCAGCTCTGTCACCTCCAGGGCCTGAGTTCTATTCCTGGCCAGCAAGTTAACCCCATATGGCGCAGCAGACCTCTCCTGTCTCGCCCGCTGCTCTCTTTAGCAGTGCATTTCAGTGGATCCACCTGTTCTGCTCCCCGCTCTGTCTCTAGTGAATCCTCTCACCACCACCACCCCTTGGCCCCCACCTGGCACCTCTTGCCTAACCACCAGTCCTACACAAAAATTAATTAATTCATTTTAAAAAAGACCACATTCTCCCTTCTAGCTTTCTGCACTGGCATAGGTCTGAACTTAACATTAAGTCAGGTAAACTACCTTTGGTTTGCAGTCAAAAAAAAGGAAGCAGAAAATCATCAAACAGTTTTGTTTGAGCTTTGAAACACAAATGATACATAATAATAGTAATAGAAATAAAACCCCTGACAAAAATAAGCAGTGTGATGCATATCCTTAGGGGATAGATGTTAACCTGAGCACTAGTTACACACATGTGTTTGGCTTGTGAGAATTTACTGAATGTACACTTCAGACCTGTACACTTTTCTGTGATTGTTATACTTCAACATAATGTCAAAACAAAGATGTGACCAGCCATCTCTCCTTAATTTGCCTTTGAGACAAAAACTATGCAAATTATTACCACAAAGGTAAAAACAGGGGGCTCCCCAGTTCTCTATGAGGTATTTCACTGCCACAAATAAGCCCTCCTTTCTGTCCCTCTGGGCAGGAGGAAGGAGACAGGTCACAATCTATACCCCAGTTAGATTCAAATTACTTGGCTAAGACTTTACTTTCTCCAAAGTGAACAGACCCAGGAGGAGACACCTCTCCCTTCCCTTCCGTACAGAAAACCCAGATCACAAAGAAAACTTGCCACAGAGAGATGCACGCCACCTCCACAGAGACAATCCTAACTCCACACACACCGACACACTGCCCCCCACCACCACCAGAGACAGCCCCCAGTCCCCCAGTGACAGCAAACTTCCCTCCTGCAGGGACACACCACAGATGGGGGAGGGTGGCGATTAGGAGACAGGCAGCTGCCTACAACCACGCAAGGAACATGAACAAGAAGAGGGAAAAGTAGTATTTCAAAGTCATAGCAAACTGAATTTCTCTAAAGGGGTGGACTTTTACAACTGTGAATAGGTTCTGAGTTGCTGCTGTAAAAATTCTTTCAATCACCTCCATTTCCACCCACTGCTGCAGATCCTCTTGGATCATCCCCCTTACACTTTCTCATCCAGCATGCCCCCACTGTCGTGGGAAGACTAAAAGGCGGGATTTTTTTTCCATTTTATAGGTGAAAAAGTGGAGACGCAAATGTGTTTCTCAGACAACACAAAACTAGTCATCTCTTCACTGGGTTGGGCTGGGGGAGGCCGAGCTGGAGAAGCAGCACGAAAACGACAAGAGAAGAAGGAAGACCCTCTCCCCGGCCCCAAGCCCTGGACACTGACCACGGTCCCACAAGAGTGACCTCAAAGGATCCAGAGTAAAGGATTTACATCCGGCAACATTTACAAATACTGGGATTAGACTCCACCCTCCCCTGGGAAAGTGTGAAATAAGTCCCGATCGCTGGGGAGAGACAGGGCCATCCGAAATGGAGCCAGACTCATGGCATTTTCTAGCAGCAGAGGAAGCTAATGCCAGCGAAGCCAACCCTAAGGCATGCCCTCCTCTCTGAGGGATTCCTGGGCCCAACAGGAATACTTACAGGCAGCCACAGGGCTCCTGTGGGGGAAGGAAACAGGGCAGAACAGATCTCAGAGCAGAGCAGATACGCAGTCAACTCCCCTCCCCTGCCTTGGCGTTAGTAAACTAAGTGACAGGGGAAGCAAGGGATGCTCCAAAGGCTGCCAGTCCAAGGTCCCCACCGCGGATTCCGCTTCGCACTTTCTCAGAAGGTGCCTGCGGCTAACCCCAAACCTTAGGGTTTGCTCTCAACCTCACCAAACCCAGCGGAGTTAGGGAGAGATCGTATGGGGAGACGGGGATGAAGCTTAAGGGACCCACCCTCCCCCGCAAGCGCCGGCAGTCGGGGGACCCTGCCGGGACGCCGCGGTCTACTCGGGTTCTAATCCTGCGCGCGGGCCGTGACCTTGAGCGAGTCCCTGATTAGCCCCATTTGACAGAAATGAAGAGACCGAAAGAGTCAAGGCGGCCTCTGGGGCGGCCGCGGGGCGCTTACCAGATGGCTGGAGGCGCCCCGCCCGCGCTGGCCGCGGAGTAGGTGCGCGGTGAGCCGCAGCCCAGGCGCTACGTGGCCAGTGGGGAGCGGAAAACGCGGGGGGAGCGCCGGGGCGAGCTCCAGCGCCCGCAGCCCGAGAAAGGGGTGGTTCCGACTCCGCAATGAGCCCCGAGCAAGTTCAATGCCCGCCGCGCCTCCGCAGAGCTGACCGGCCTGCCCGGGGACCCGCGCTGAGGGCGCGCGCGCACGGGATGTGGGGGTACATGAACAAACACCTCCACACGCCCACCCCCCGAAGTTGCGGCAGGGCGCGGAGGAGAGCGGCGCAAAGCTGCCCCCGGGGAGGGCACGGTACTCACGCGGGGTGGCCAGGCGGGAGCGGTCCGCGCCCCGGGTCATCGATGGCGGCCGGCTCAGGCCACCGCGCCCCCGGCTGCCAGAGGCACCTGCCGCAGCGCCGCGCGCCAGGAAAGGCGGCGGGCGACGAGGCTGGGGCGCGGGTCAGTCGCGCGCCGGCTCTGAGCTGCAGCGCCGCGGGGGCTCCGCCGGCAGAACCGCAGCCGCAGCGGGGGCCGGGAGCGGGCGGGAGGCGGGCGCGCGGCGGCGACCGTGACTACGAGGGAGGCGCCCGCGCGCGCCGCAGGCAGCCAGGGCCAGCCTGGCCGCAGCCTCGCCGACACCTGCTGGCCCGGCCGACGGCCAATCAGCGGCGCCCGGGGCGGGGGCGCGGGCGGGGGCCGGGCGGGGGCGCGAGCGGGGCGCCGGGCAGGAGCGGCCGCGCGGGATCGCGCCTGCGCCGGGGCAGGGGTTGCCTGCCCGGCGGGTTCCACGGGAGCTCCCCCGGCGCGCGGGCGGCACGCGCGGGCGGGGCGGGGTTCAGGGAAGAGGCGGGGCCGGGGTTGCGCGCGCCCGGGGCGGGGACCCGCGCCCCTCCCTGGTATCGCCCCCTCCGCGCTGGGCAGCGTTCTGGCCGCGGCCCCCGGGGACTCCCAGGAGGGACTTCGGGTCGTTCCCGGCTTTGAAGTGAGGCTTTTCCTATCCCCAGCCTCTGAACCCCCGGGGTCCGGTCCTTCCCTGACCGCGCAGTGACGGGAGGGATGGGTCACCCCGAGCCCAGGGGCGACCGACTTCTACCAACACCGCCGCTCGCCGGCCGGAGTGCGGGCGCCCTCCCGTAGGAACCTCGCCAAAGCTGGCTTGGCGCTTCTGCACCCACACCTCTTCCTCACTTCGCGTCTCTGTTTTAAAGGCACCGTGGTGACCCATCCCCTGGTCTGCATTCCCTAAATTCCCCCGTGAATGTGCGCTAGCGACGCTCATTCATTCAACACACTCGGGCTGGGTTGGCGCCCAAGTCTCCCAAAGTCCCCTTCGCTGCCGCAGCGCCCGGGTGGTGAGGACGCGCAAAAGATTGCTGGAGTGAAGAACGCACCCTGGCGCATGCCAGGAGTTCCAGGTCCTGGAGGAACCGCAGGGAGTGGAAAGGTTCCCCCCATTCTCACCCTCCCAGATCAGGGCTTCATTGTGCGTTCACATCCTTTAGGCCCAGAACCTTCCAAGACGCCTGGCTCAGTCCCCACCACTGGACTGTGAAAACACATTGCAGAATGGAAGTCACTTCACCAGAATAGTTTGTGGAGCTACATTGGCTTTTCTTAAAATCCTGGGAATCCTTCCTCAGGATGGCGATCGAGGTGGTGCTCTCCCTGTAAATTTGTACAGTAGAAATGGATGACTCATTTGCTGACCTGTCCACAAAACAAAAGCGAGCAAACAAAAAAACTTTAGGAAGGGAACTTAGAGAGTAAAGGAGTTGATGTCTCTCAACATCTGGCTTCCTCTGTTCAAGGGGTTATGCAATCCACAAACTGGTGAAAGTGAAAGAAAGTTTGTGTTGTTTCTGTTTTATTTATATTGTTTTAATTTATTTCTACTTGATTAGCATTCACGTGATACAGAATTCAAAAGTGCAACCCAATTAACAAGATTCCCTACCTGGGAACAAGATTACCTCCCAGCCTCTCAATTTTTCTCCCAAGAGGAAACCATCTCTTTGATTCCTTGTGTTACTCCTAAAGAAATTACACACAAAAGTATTTGTCGAGTATTTATATTTTTATCTTTGTTATACAAAAGGTCTAACTTCAGACACGTGTGGATTAGTGATGTCAGAAGTAAAACTAGAGTCTCAACCTCTTTCTTCTCTATCTCTCCCTTTGCCTTTTCTTCTCTTTCCTCTTCCTTCTCTCTCTCTCTGCCTTCCTCTGTAGGCATCCTTGGTAAAATGTCTGCCTTCTCCTGGTGACACCTGGAAGCTCCAGAATTATTTTCTCAGTGGTCAGGATCCAAGAATGAGGGGAGTCTTCTCTTTCCCAGAGAGCCCATTACGCTGCCTAGGAAAACTCGAGTGCTCTGGGCCTCTCCTGATGGCACCGAGGTTGAACGCTGAGCTGCGAAGTTGCCTGCAGCCTCTTCAGCACAGGTTCCATCGCGGGCCGTTGGCGAGGGTCCCACATGGTGCACAGGCCTCTCCTGCCGTGCCCACTGCTCCCCTCAGCAGTGTATTTCATTAGTCTGCCTGTTCTGTTCCCCGCTCTGTCTCTGGTGAATTCTCTCACCCTCCCACACATCTGACTATATACCCAGTGCTTGTATAAATAAATAAATAAATATTAAAAAAAAACAAAAAAAACAAAAAAACTCGTGTGCTCTGCGTTTGGTGTGAGTCCACCCCTGGGGCAGTCCAGGCCTGGGTTTTCTCATTGTCAGGCAGGGGACGTTCTGATTGTTGGTGAGTAAGCAAGGACAATGGTCAAGGGTAATATACCCAAATGCATGCAGGTAGTTCTTGAATGCTCCCCTACACATGCCTCCTGACTGGTCAACAGTAAGCCACATGTAAACGCTCATCCTCACTTACATGCAGATCTGATGAAAACCTCAGCTTCTGCAGTTGGACCCCAGGCCCACAGGGTAAAGCTTTAAATGCAGAATGTGGAAGGATTGCTTCTCCTATGTGGCCTCACAGGGACTGCATTGTGACAAGAATTGGGATTGGGGTTCAAAGGTTATATGACAAAACTGGTTTGATATATAAATTTATATCTTTACGGACACTTCCCTAAGTTGTAAACATTTTTAAAGAAAAATACAGAACAGTTCAATGATTTTGTCAAATGAGACAGGAAAAAAGTAGTCATGGAAATCCAGAGACATTATGAGTGAAAAAGAGCCCCAGTCTCCTGTTTGTGGTCCTTTAGGTCAGAAACAGGCACAGCTTCAATTCTTCACAAGAGCCATTATTGATTTTTTTTTTAACATTCCCCATGAAAGGTTTGACATCTGAAGATGATTTGGATAACAATAAGCCTGCTAAGAGATAACCTGAAATGCTGCCTTCTTGATTGCTCCATCCTGAGCTGTTATCCATTGCAGTTTTACTGAATTCCAGCACTAGCCATCCTTCCTTTTGCCCCTCAAACAGCTCTTGTTTTTTCATTTTCTGTATGATCCTGACCACTGTAAGAGTTTTAATGGAGTCTTCCTTTATCAAGAAGAGCTCATTGACTTTTGCTCAGACAAGGAAATATATCTGTCACGTTTTCTTTTAAAATGTGAATCAGACACTTCATTTCTTAGAAGATTGATGAGTTTACACTGGCAGGAAAAGGACATATCTTGAAAGGATTCTGGGTAGAATTAAAACATTAATCACAAAACTGCAGACCTAGTCTGACCTTACCACTTCCTGGCTGTGTGACCTTGGGCAAGTTACTTAACTTTACTGAATACTGGAGTCCCTAAATATAAAATAAGGTATGATTCCTTCCACTGCCCTGCAAGGTTGTTATTAATTGATGTAATAGATGAAAAATTGTTTTGCACATGAGATTTATGTTGGTTAACTAACATTGTAATTTAACCTGGAAAATATGTAATGAATTATAAAAGAAGGCTCTGTGGCATTCTCTGGTATAGAAGTAGTGAAACTTTGACCTACTACTTCCTTGTCAATGAAAACATGCAATCTGATCTTTAAAATCACTTATCTCTAGCTCTCTATCCTACTTAGCACTTGTTATAGAATATTTGCTATTGGATACATCTCCAATCTCCCCAACTAAACTGAAAATGCCTTACAGTTGGGACCATGTCCCCTTTTCATGACCCTAATGACAGACTGCCCTCTGTCCAGACATTATCATGAGAACTTGTAGGTATCCAATAATTATTTGTTGAATCAAAAGTGAGTAAATGGAAAAAATGACAAACTGGATCACATCAAAATTTAAGAAGATATTTATTCTGTGAAAGACCCTATTAAGAGAATGAAAAGACAAATGATACTGGGGAAAAATATTTTCACATAACATATCTGACGAAGGACTTGTACCTAGGACACATACGTGTGTGTGTGTTTGTGTGTGTGTGTGTATAAAACCCTCCATGTTCAATAGTAAAGCACTTAAGAGATCCAATTAGAAAATAAGCAAAAGATGAGACTATTTCACCAAAGACTATATACTGCTGACAAATAAACATATGAAAAGATGTTCAACACATTGGTCATTAGGGAAATATATATGAGAACTATAATGAAATATCATTACATACCTATTAGAATGGGTAAAAGAAAAAATAGTGGCGACACCAAATGCTGCTAAGGAGACAGAAAAACTGTGTCACGCACTGCTGGTAGAAATGTAAAATGGTGCGACCACTCTGGAAAATAGTTTGGCTGCTTCTTTTGAAATTCGTATCTGACTTACCCTACAACCTAGCAATTTTGCTTTGAGCATTTGTCCTGAGAAATGAAAATTTATAGTCACACAGAAGCTTGTACAAGAATGTTTATAGCAGATTTACTTATACTAGGCAAGAACTAAAAACTGTACACATGTCCTTTAATAGGTGAATAATTAAAAAAACTGAGGTATATCCATACCATGGAATACTATTCATATGTAAAAGTAACAAGCTATTGAGAATGTGGCAACTAACATGGATCTTAAGCACATTGTGCTGAGTGAATAAAAGCCTACCCAAGATTGATATTTATGATCTGATTCCATTCATATGTCATTCTTGAAATAACAAAATTGTAGTTATAGAGAACAGATCAGAGGTTGTCAGGACTTAGGGGTGAGGGATGGGACACGGAATAGGTGTGGCTATAATAGCATAGCCTGAGGGACCATTTGATAACAGCATGGATTTTATCTTGATTGTGGTGGTATTTGCACAGTTTCATAGAACTATATATGCATACTCTCACTAATGAATGCATATGTAACTGTTGAAATCCAAATAAGCTCTGTGGCTTGCACCAATGCCAGTTTCCTGCTTTTGATATTATATTATAGCTATGCATTATGCAGGAT